TGTTCATTCATTCGACAGTCCTGGGTCCCCTCTCAGCGCCAAGCTCTGTGCGGAGAGTTCCTGCCCCCGAGGCCTAGAGAAAAGGGGGCAAGAGGACAGGTTGGCCAGGGAAGGAGATGCAGCAGAGAGCCGCCCTCACCGGGGAGGGGTCCCCCACACGGAGAGTCACCTGTGTTACCAACTGTCACCCACAATGCGAAGTGTCACCCACAAGTCAGAGAAGACAGGACAGACCCTTTTGGGGACCATCATCTGGTCTCTGAAAGGACAGTCCCCTGCACAGAGTGCTAGCTTCACAGGCTGAAAGAGGACAGAGGGAAACCGCACCCTGGAGATGTTGAAAGCAAAAGCAAAATTAAGCTAGAACTGGCATCAGCCTGGGCGGCCAGTTTAGGGTTTAGGGTTTAGGCTGGAGTTGTGTTCATTTACACCAGAGCCCAGGGGAGTTGCCAGCGATGGAGGGAGGTCCCCGCCGGGTCCGTGGTGAACCAGCGGGGCCTTTGCCCTGACAGGACAGGAGAGAATGGAGAAGGAGGAGGGTGGTGGAGGGCATTGCCCGCAGGGAGGGACCCTCAGGCCGCATGGTCCCTGCGTTGTGGGGACTGAGCTTGGGAGGATCAGAGTTGAAAGGCAGGGTGGGTGAGGGCTCCGTGAGGTTAATGCAACCCCACTGAGAGCCCTCAGTATCCCTCTTTGTGCTCAGTGCAGAGCACAGAGGGAAGAACAGGGGTCCCAGGGACCATCCAGAGTTGGAGAGAGACGGAGCTCACTTGGGGCCAAGGCCGCCTGGTCAGAACTGGGGTGGTGCCTGTGGCTCTGAGGATGTCCAGACCAGTCGTGCGATGCGAGGGCCCCAGGCAGGACAGAAACCAACCAAGAGCCAAAGGATCCCCCCACCCCTCCCCCGCCCATCCTCCGGAGCCTGGGGCTGCAATATTCCAGGTGGCCACTAGATGGCAACAGAATGCTGCCTGTCTCCACGCTGGAGCACTGCAGACTGTATTTTTAAAATTCATATTTAGTGACAGAGTCCCAGTTCTCGTTGTAAAAAGCACACAGAACATTTACGTGTAATAAGTTAAGTCAGCTTGTACCTGGTATAGTCTGCCTCTCCTGGATCAGGGCCAGGGACTCAGCTGAACCCGAGCTGAGGTGCCAGGCCCTGAAGAACCAGGTTGGGACCCTTCCCTGGGACAGCCCTGTAACTCCCAGGCCCTCCGGGCACCTCTCCCTGTGCACAGCATCTGTATCTCTGAACAATCTTGTGTAAATACCATCATTTTAAAGATGCACCAGGTATGTCGACTCTAGTGGAGACAAGCTGGGCCCAGCAAGCACCAGGCTATGCTGGAGACAGGCTTTGCCAGGGACGGCCGGTGGATGCTGGGCCAGCCTGGGAGCTCCTGGAGGGAGGACTGGGCCATCTGGAGTACCTTGAGAGCTCTGAGCCCACACCGAATCAGATCAAGACCCGGGGAGCCTTTGGGACAGCTTCAGGTCCTCAAGGAAATAGACAAAACCAAAGTGGAGCTGTCCTCAGCCCCGCCCCACCCCAGCCTTTCCTCCTGGATCAAACCCTGACCGCAGGAATTTCTCCCTTGACTGTGAGTCCCCTGGATCAAAATTCGGAGCTCCAAAAACATTGTTCTTTCCTTTGATGAGGATTTTCAGTGTCTGCTCAGAGCTGAGGCTCAACATCCTACATGTTACTCTAGCCGAGAAATTAAGTTTCTGGATTCCAGTTTCAATGTCAACCCTTTCATCTCCCTTATGTAAATCTAACACTCTGTAAAGGGTGTTGACTTTGACCACTAACAGTAATTCAGGTCTGCTTTGTAAATATCCTTATGCCTCTGCCAAATCCCACAAAAAAACTTGTTGCCTTTTGTGTGGGATTGGAACAAGAAAAAGCCACGTAAAAAAAAAGTCTACGTACATTGCAGATCTTGTTGTTGCCTAATGTCGCCAAATTCATTTGGTGAAGTTCTTAAAAGGGTTAGTTGAGAAAACAAGGTTATCTTCCTTGAAAAACTGGTAAGTTTTCTTTGTCAGATAAAGAGAGTTATGTAGCTCCTCATGTTTCCCGTTTTGCGTTGGCTTCCAGGAAGCTCGGAGTTCAGTGTAATGTACAGTCTCATTGTCAGTCCTGATGACCTCTCCCTCTTTGACCATTATCCTTTTAATTCTGTTGCGTTAATATTTCGTGTGTTTGCGTGTGTGTGTTTTCTAATACTAGACTGCCGCAGTGTCTTTGTGAAAGCAGGCAAGTTGGCTTCTGGGACTTAACCAGTGGAAAGGGATGAGTAAAACATGATCCCCACAGAAGGAGTTCAGGTCTGACTCCTTAAAATCTGAGGATGGCATGAACTAATTCAGAGACATTGTGCCGAGGGGCAGCAGTGAGTCTTTGAGAAGCAGGGTGAGAGAGCCCGTCCCACTTGTTGCTCCCACTCCAGCCTGGGCTGAGACATGGCCACTGCATCTCCTCACCACCAGAAGAGAATTTCTGCGTCCACCAAGAGAGAGTGTCCTTGAGGGCAGCTGGGGCAAAGCTCTGTTGTCACGTGGGGAGCCTGTAGTTATGTCCTGATGTGAGAAGGTCGCTGAACCTCTCAGGACCTCAGATGGCCTCCTCATCACGAAGTTACGGGCATGGCAGGTGAGGAAGATGATGTGGAATTAGATATTTTTACGTTTAAAAACCAGAGAAGAGGGGCGCCTGGGGTGCTCTGTCAGTTAAGCATCCGACTCTTGATTGCGGCTCAGGTCATGGTCTCAGGGTCATGAGATCGAGCCCCGCCTTGGGCTCCACATTGGGCACGGAGCCTGCTTCAGACTCTCTCCCTCTCTTAAAAATAAATAAATAGATAGATAAATAAATACCAGAGAAATGACAAAGGAAGAATCTGAGTCTATAAAGATATAAACATTCGTAGAAAAAAATACATCTACCAGCAAAAAGGGGGCAAAGGGGCAACTTCGTAATAATAATAATAAAAAAAAAGCAGAATAAGCCAACAATGCAGTCCCATTTATTTTAATCAAAGAAAGCAAACCAAGTCTTTAAAATGCCCGACGTTGGCAGCCATGTGGCGAAACGGACTTTCTCGATGGTGCTCATAGGGTAAATTAATCCGACCCTTTTAGAAAGCCACTTGGAGAGTCGTATTGAGAATTTTTAGAATATTTATAACTTTGACCCAGAAATTCTACTTCTGGGACTCTGCTGTGAAAATAATCTATAATATGGAAAGAACTTGCAAAAAGATGTTCGTGGTGAGACTGTTTCTGTTATTTAAAATAAGTATCTGATCACACAGATGTCACAAAATGGAATATGACATACTATTTAAAATAGTGCTTTTCGTGACTGTAGATAAAACAAATGCTTTGAAGGTGATGGTACTTGATAAAGCAAGATATAGAAGTGTATGTAAGTAATTACTACCCTTTATATGTACGTGATGGTAGTTTTATTTATAGATCTGTGACTTCAAGGGAACAGAACAAAAAGTGATTGTTGTGTTAGGGTGGTGGGAAAACTTCTGTTTTTTTGCTTTTTTAAACATATTTTTCAAAATCATAATGTTATGTTACTTTTCTAACGAGAAAAAAAATACATAGCTTTTTATTTTAAAGGAACAGAGAAGAGAATGAAAAAGGTGGGACAGGTGTGGGCTTACCCAGTGTTTTGATCCAGACCAGTGAGTTAGGGGAAAAAATGGGGTGGGGTCCAAGAGAAGATTACTCTGTCTTTATTTTGTCAGGCTAAGGACATCTAAAAATGATAAACATGATCTGCTACCAATGTAATTTAATAACTAATAATTTAATAAAGGAAAGGCCGTTCTAACACGGGAAAGTGGGATGGACAGATTTTGCCATCATGTCCTTGTTTCCTCGTTTTGCGGAGAACCTGCGGCCCCCTTGAGGGCTGGTTCTGGCTCTGCGGTCAGAGTTTGGGACCCTTCTCCCCGCCACGAGCCAGGCCAGGGCTCTGGGACTCCAGCAACCACAGCTACCCTCACGGATCCCGAGTCTCCGGAGCAGGGGCCCCCGCCCGCCGTTCGCAGAGGCCACAAGGGAGGGGTTGGTGCCGTTTCCCGAATTTCAGAGAGCAGTGCTGGTTCTTACTGGGGAACTCCAGCTCTCCAGCTGGTGGCTGTTCTCAGTGAGGAACAGGAACACTGTTTCCAAGCAGGGAGCTCCTGCGGGGAGAGACCCCGGGGATAAAGATGTTATCACTGCTCAGGCAGACCAGACTCTCCTTCTCTCTGCCATGGTTGTCTGTGTATTTCAGTTTTTAGACAAATTGAGTAGAAATCAGTCACCGCTAAAACAGGGATATCTCACGTGGAGGGAGGTCTGGATTCATCTTTCTCTGTAGAGCCATCTGCGTCCTCCCCGAGAGGTCAGCGATTCGCAAACCTAGGCGAGCATCCGAACGAAGCAACCAGGGGAGGCTTCTAGAAGCACAGAGACTGAGATTCTAATTCTAGGTCCGGGTGGGGTCTGAGATTTAAAAACAAAAAATCTGCAGGTAATTCCAGTGCCTCCCAGGCTTGAGGGCAGCCACAGAAAGCTCTCGTGAATGTTCCGGCGGGCCTGGTAGGTGTGTGAATGAGGACACAGATGGGACTTTGTATTTCTTTGATTTATTCATTCAGTTATGTAATTGAGCACATCTCACTCCATCCCAGCCTGGTGGACATTCAGCTGCGGCTTATAGGCCTCCGACGTGCTCCGGGGGGGCCTCGGTGATGCGAATCGCCTCCCGGTGGATGTGCTTTCTAAGCCCAGCACTGTAAAGTGGAACCCGTCACCCACAGTTCTGGAATGCCTTCCTGGGGCAGCTCCCCTGGGAAGGTGTGACTCAGACCCCCTGCCCTCAGCCTGGGGCCTCCTCTCCCCGCCCGGAAGCCAGACAGGGGAGTATGTTAGTACAGAGCAGATGGAGCTGGGCACAGTATGTCACTCATCCTTTTTTCTGGCTATCAAAGGTGCAGATAATTAATAAGAAGCTGGATCTTAGCAACGTCCAGTCCAAGTGTGGCTCAAAGGATAATATCAAACACGTGCCAGGAGGCGGCAGTGTGAGTACGCTCACACTTTCCCTGCGCCGTACTGCGGTTTGTAAGCAGCAGCATGAGTGTGGACACTTGCGAGACATTGCAGAGAATAAACCATTCTCCGGTTCGGGGTCTGTCTGTGGCCCCACTGCCTGTAGCCCAGGCTCCCTGCAGCCGTGCCCACTCTTCTAGGAGGGCTGCCCCGGCATCCGTGGGTTCCCTGGCCTGTGCAGGCTGCAGGGGCAGTAAAGGGAAGATGACCGAGCCCCTCTCTGTCCCAGACCTGGAGGCCAGGTCCTCACCGCGTAACAGCCCTGGTCGGCGCCACCCACCGCCCACCACGGGCTCCTGGAAGCCCCACAGCCTGCATGAGGTTGGGCTGAAGGTGGCAGTGCTGGGGACTGGGCTCTGTCACCTCCTCCCCTGTCACCGGGGCAGGTTCACTTTGACAGCCCCGTGGACAGCTGGCCCACCTGGGCTGACAAGCAGACACAACGTCTTCCTGACCTACTTCAGGGCAGGAGAAGTCCAGTCTCTGCCCATGTTTGTCCCCTGCGTTTGCAAGGGATGAGCAGATCCCTAAGCCCGGGCTCGGGTGTAAAACCAGTCCCCGCCACCAGCGGATCAGGTGCCAAAGAGCCCCAAACAGTGCACCGGGGACCCTGCCTACAGTGGTCAGGGGTTGACAGAGAAATGCGGCTTTGCACCCTTTTAGATTTGACTTCCTCCAAATGTCCTGGGGACTCCTGGTGTTCCCAGTGGGTGAGGGCCTGAGATTTGGGGCTGGCATCCTCACTTCTTACCCACACACTCGGTCAACTCTGCTGTTACCCTCCGGCCGCTCCGTGGCCACTCACAGTGGGGGCGTCTGGAGGTGGGGCGCCCCTTCACCCCGGCCCCCTCCCCCGCCTCTGGGTTGGCTGGCAGCCCACCTTTAAACACACCGCAGGGAGAGGGCCTAGCCCCTTTGAGGTCCCCTCCCCCCCTCGTGGGGGGACGGTTTCTGAGAGCAGGGATCTCACTCCCGGCTGGTGGTGCCAGGGGGAAGGTGGTAGCCCTGGGCGGGCTCTCCCTCCAGAACGTGCCCAGCCCGGGCCCGCACCCCTGCGTCCAGCCCCCCCGCCCAGGTTTATTCTTGCAATGTGCTGCTGAGCACCTGGATCCCGCCGCTTGTCCCCGGGACTAGCGTGTGCTTTCCCGCCGCTGCTGCATGCGCTTCGGTAACGCTTCCCCACCGGTGTCTGCCCCGTGTCCCCTCTGTGTCCCCGGTCCCCGCTGTCCCGTCCCACTGCTCCCGGAAGCCAAGAGAAGGTGTGGGGACCAGCCACGCCCCCCGGGCCCCAGGTGGCGTGTGGGTGGCTGTGTCAGCTCTGGTGTCATGGGCTCTGGCAGAGGAGGAAGGCCACGTGCTCTCTGCTGTGACGCCGGTCTGGTCGCTGGTGGCGGGCGTGCGGGGCAGGCCTAGGCTGTGGGGTCCAGGGGACCGCAGCCGGCAGACCGCTCCTCCGGGTGTGAGTCCTGGGGAGACAGTAGCTTCCCATGGCTGCTGGCAATGCCCAGGGCATCAGGGGACTTCCTCGGGGGCGCGTGCACGCGCACACACACACACACACACACGCACACACACACACACACACCCCATCTGGCCTGCGCTCTCTGCCCATCTACAGCCAGCCTGTATGACCTGGGAGCCCCAGGATTTCTCAGGCTGGCCCTGAGCATGGTCCTTTGCAGTAGGAGCCTTCACAGAAAGCGCTTCTCCTGGTGGAAGGTGGCTGGGGGGCTCCAAGCAGTTTCAGGTGTTCTGGGGGCGCTAGACCGCTGGCCTGGACCCCAGCCTCTGGCTGGCTGCTCTCTCTTCCTGAGCCTGGCGGTGACTTCCCAGCCGGCAGACCGTGCTCCTTGTCCATCTCGGGATCCTCCCCACCTCCTGGCTGGCTCTGGGCCTGGCCTCCTCTCCCCAGCCTCCAGTCCGCCTCACCTCCCCTGCCCTGGCTCCTACCCTCAAGCAATCCTTCTCCTTCTGCCGGTCCAGGTTCCTCCTTCTCCACGCCCTCCCCTTCATTCCCTGTTCCCTCATCCGGGCTGAGGGGAAAGAAGGAAGGCTGGCTCACAGCATTTACTTCCTTCTCCCTCATGCCAGGAGGAGCCCCGTAGCCCCTTCCCCGCCTCTCGGCGCCCCGCGCAGCATGCGCTGTCTCCCAGGCTGGACTGCCTCCGAATCGTTCCTTCCCCACCCGCTCACCCTCACAGGCGCGGGCTGCGCGGGGCGCTGAGAGGCACACCCCCCCGCCTCACTGCACACCCCCCCACACACACAGCCCATGGGTACCTGTCGGCCTCAACTCTCCATCAATAAATGGCAAATGCCAGCACGATTTTCATTAATTTGGAATTGTTCCAGATGATTTAGACAGGAGTAGATGTCCCCCTTTTTCTGGCTCTCTGGCTCCAGGCCATCTCTCTCCTGGGTCACTCCGGGGGCAGAGAGTGGGAGCCAACTCCCCACTCCACGGTGACTGGCCTCTTGTACCCACAGGTGAGCTCACACAGGTGGCTGCTGGAGGCTCTGGGAAGTGTCCATCAGTGACCATCCAGGGACCCCCTCCCAGCCATGGCTATGTGGCCGGGGGTGGGGGGGCGGCGGAGCCTGTGGGTGTTCCCCCTTGAGGGAGCTGGGTCTTGGGCTGGGATTGGTGGGCTGCTCAGGGGCTGTCACCCCCTCCGGAGGGTGGGCGGTGTGGCCAAGCCATATGCTGGGCCCTCAGCTGGTTCTGAGGAGCCCTGAGGTCTCCCCTACCTGTGTGTGTCCCAGCGGGTTCCTCTGTGCTGCCTACCCAGTTCCTGTCTCTTTGCTCCCTGGGCTACAGAACCGAAATGTCCAGGACACTGTGTGTCCAGGTGCTGGCTGGCTCTTCCCGCCGAGTTGCCTAACGGCTCTGGGTCCCGCTTGCTGTCACCGTGCTCACTGTAGTGCTAGGGTTTGTGGGAGGCTGTCCTGGGAGAAAGCCCACCCATCAACCCTGCTCCGCCCGCTCCTCTCTGAGGCCCAGCGACCAGCAGACCTAGCTTCCTTGCTTTTCCAACAAGATTTTCTAAATGTGGCACAAATGGACCGTGCTGATCCCTTCTTGCTTTGTCCCCACTGAATGTGATGTCCGTGTCATGTCAGGGAAGAGGGACCGAAACCAGCGGTGTGGGCCCTGCCCCATGACAGAGTCTCCCTGTTTTCCCCTGAGGGACGGAGGGCACTCCAGTCCCACAGTTATTGTGTGAAGACCCGACTCCCCGCGGGGCGGGGTTGGCAGAAGTCCAACAGTACATTTTCCCACCATGGCGAGGGTGTGTTCCTTGGGGCGACAGGAAGCACTGTCCCCAGCAGGGCCTGATCTGACTGACACAGCTGCTTTTCATGTTGTTCCGGCCACAGTGAAATCATCCTGTTTTATTCTTTGTCTCTCGCTCATCCTCTCTCACCTCCAGGTGCAAATAGTGTACAAACCAGTGGACCTGAGCAAGGTGACCTCCAAGTGTGGCTCATTAGGCAACATCCATCATAAGCCAGGTAGCCCTTGCAGAAGGCGGGAAGCGGGGGAGGGTGGGACCGGCCGGGGGTGGCGGGGGGCTTCTCCTGAAGCAGCTGGGAAGGATGCAGGGGACGGGCTGACGAGGGGAGCGTTGGAGGTGGGACTTGCTGGGCCCCTGGAGGGGTGGCTGCCCTGTCTCGCTTCTGAGCCGGGCGCCATGCTGGCCAAGGCAAAGCGAGGACGGAGGGGGCAAAGCGAGGACGGAGGGGGCAAAGCGAGGACGGAGGGCAGATGCTGGGCCTAAACCCTAACTCGTGGTTCTCCGAGCGGGTGCGCGTAGGGCCTCTGGAGCTGGGGGAGGGCCTGATCTGGCTCCCGGAGGCTGGCTTGTGGATTGTTCCGGTTTGGTCCCCGGCCGACATGGGGGTGGGGGGGGGACACTTCACCAGCCATTGCCATGCTCCTGCTGTGACTTTGTTTTAACAGAAAATACCGTTGGCGCTCTGCCGTGCTTACCTTTCTCCTCCCCGTCCCACACTGTGTAGAAACCAGAGCTATCTGTAGATTTCTCTCTGCGGTGATGGGAATATTCTCGACCTGCTCTGTCCAGTATGGTAGCCACCAACCACGTGTGGCTGTTGAACACTGGAAATGTGGCTAGTGCAGTTGACGAAATGACTAATTTTTTTATTAATTAATTAAATTTAGGTAGCTACACGTGGCTGGTGGCTTCCGTATTGTCCAGCGCTGATCTAGAATCTTAACTCCTGCCTGGGAGTCCAGAGCAGGGGCTTCTGCCTTAAGCCCGATTTCAGAGCAGAACCTTTACTTGAAGTGTTCCCGTGGGGAGAGAAGGTTGGCAGAAACATAGTCCGGAATGTGTCTCGTCAGGTTCTGGCCTTGCTGGGACATGTCGTGGGGGTTTAGTCTTTCCCAGTGAAAACCATCCCTCACCTGGTGCCATCATCCTACCATGCTGGGAGCAGCTTTCTTGGGTGGCTTTATCCTTTCTCCAGAAAGGAATGCTGTTTGTCTCTTCCTCAGGCTGTGTCCCCCATGCTTGGGCTCGGCACCGAGTGTCCGAGGAGGGAGAAGGGTCAGGCCCCTTCCTCGGTTAGGGTGCATTTTGCCATTTAGTTTCATTCCGAGATCTTGCAGGGCTGTGCCTTACAGGATGTTGACATAGAAGGACTTCACTCTTTGGAAGCCAACCAGTTTAGAGTGTGGAACCATTCCTCCTGGACTGAGCTGTCATTGACCTGTGCATTAAAGAAAGAGGAAGTGTTTGTTGAGCAAATATTGGATGCACACCTTGATGAGAGAGATGGAGCAAACTGTTGTGAAGCCCTCTGGAAGGGCTTACTTGGGCCCAGAGCACCTTCTAAATGAAGGATAGTTTTACCTACTCGGAGAGACCGGCGTCTACCTGGCGTCACGTGCTCCGCCCTCCTTCAAGGCGCGGTGTGCTGTGTGCATTGTGTTTCAGGGGGTGGCCAGGTGGAAGTAAAATCTGAGAAGCTGGACTTCAAGGACAGAGTCCAGTCGAAGATCGGGTCCCTGGACAACATCACCCATGTCCCTGGTGGAGGGAATAAAAAGGTAAAGGGGGCAGGGTGGGGAGGAGGCTGCATTTGGATGTGGCTGTGAATGGAGCGGAGTGGACAAACCTGGTCCAGTTTTCCAGGGGAGGAAAGCTGAGGGGCCTGTCTTGATCGGCTTGATGTGGATTCTCAGCAGCCCCCAGGACCGTGAGTCTCAGCCTTCGCTGCCCGTTGCAGTCACCTGGGAGCTTTACCAGATTTGATGCCCGGGCCCGACCTGGAGACTCTGATGAGTCTCAGGTGCCACCTGGGCACCTGGAGCTTCTAAAGCCCCCAGGGGATTCTGCTGGGCAGTTAAAGGTGAGAACCGCTGTCCTCGGTGACAGCATTCGGCCCCGTGGTTGGCAAGCATCCGCAAAAGGAGGTAGCCAGCCCCAGAGCCCGCCCCAGCGCACCACGAACAAGTCATGGGAGCATGACCTAATTTTCTAAATGGGTCACTAGGCAGTTAGAGCAAAACAGTGCTGCCGAAATCCAGGTTCCTGCGGAGCCCCTGCCTGTCTGGCACGGAAACGTCCATGGGGAGGCTGCTGGCCCGAGGAGCTCGGCGATCCCCGCAGGTTCTTGAGCCTCCGGGTCTCACTGTGTGAGCACGGGGGAGGGGGACACGGGGATGCGTGTGGCCCCGAGCAGGCTCCCTCTGAGTGCATCACAGGATGTGGGCTCGTGGCTGCACGTTTCCTCTTTTGCAGAACTGCAGCCAAAGCACCCTCTGGGGGGTTCCCACCCACGCCTGCCATGAAGTTCTGGAAATGGCTCATCTACCAGTTTGTAGTGCCTCCCAGCAGCTGACAGAGCTGTGGTGGGAGGAGAAGGGGGGTTCCAGAATGGGCACAGACTCTGAGACCCGACCCAGCGTGAGAAAGGGTGCTGCCCGAGATGGCCCGGCTGGTTGGAAGTGGCAGCTGGCACAACTCGCTGGGCAGGGCAGCAGCGGGGAGCCCCCAGGGCCAATCGGAGCCCCCCTGCCCCCCGTCGGGCTCATCGCCGGGCCTTCTCGATAGACGCACCCCATGTTGTGTTTGAGGTGAAAGCCCAACGGTCAGTTTTGGAGAAGCCCCCCCTGGGATAGCTTAAAGCAGAGGCTGCAGACTCAGGCCCGGGGACACACCTGACCCCCAGATGAGCTCCCCGAAGGGTGGGGGGCTGGGGCGGAGGACAGGGCCTGGGCCCTTGGATGGCCCTGTGCTCTCTGGCTCCCCACAGTGCCCCATGCGGTCCCCCCGACCCCAAGGTGGACCTGAAGAGGTTCCCGAAACTCAGCTTCCGAGGTGCAGGAATTCTCCGTCCCTGGGTCCCTCGTCAGAGAGGGTCCTGGAGACCGTGTGCCTCAGGGGAAGTGAGGAAGGGCCCAGTTCTCTGGGGCCGTGGAGAAGGTTCTCGGCAAAAGCCCAGCGGCTCTGCTAGCTTCTGTCACCTGCCCCCTTCCTGGTTTAAGGCCCGGGCATTGCTGACTCCCTGGGTGAGGGAAGGTCTCCGCCCATCTCTGGAAGCTTCTATGTCCTGAGCAAAGCTCTGGGTTTGACTCTGCTTGGAGGTGTGACCCTGGGCAGGATGGACAAGTGCTCTCGGCTCATTTCTTCGTCAGCAAAATGGACAGAAATATCCACATCCCTGGGTGGTGGGGAGACCCAAATGAGACCATGTTCTAGAAGATTCCTGGTACTTTGTAGCCGTCTAAGAATGTGAGTCAGAGTCAGGCCTGAGTGTGAACTTCTGTTTTAACTCACCTCTGTGCCGGCTCAGAAAGGGTGGGCCTGCCCACCACCCAGAAGAGACTGTCTTGATCCCAGAGAGTCCCCTCGCATTCAGTCCCCCACGTCCTGACATGATGAGCAAAACTGCTGATGCATAGTGGAGCACAAGACCCCTGCCGCCAGAGCTGCCTCCAGTTTGGGAGATTTGGGGGCATTTCCAGGACCCTATCACTTTTTTCTACAAGACACCAACATTAATGCTCTTATCAAAGCTTACGTCCCCACGGCCTTTCGAATACAGTGATACCGAAAGCCTCTTTTTGCAAAGCACTGCACCAAAATGGACAAAATAAGCGTAGAGCTTACATGGGAGCCTGGTTTTTCGTTACACCCACATTCAAGCCCCCTGCAACGGGGACTCTTCACCCCGTGGTCCACGGACTCCTGAAATCATGTGGAAGAATTGTGGGTGGGTGAGCGCATGCCTGCCTGTGTGTACATTTTCCTGGCTTCACCGGATGCACAACGGCTCCAGGGTCCAAAAGAGTAGGGAATTCCTGTGTCCACCACTTCAGGGCTCATCCGGAATTATTACGAACTGCTCACATCTCTAGCAAATGCTTTGAGTGTCCCAGGCATCCTGTGGAGCAAAGACCTCTGGACCCCTGGCTATGTCATCATTTCTGTACTTGAAAAAGGACTTCGTCACGTCCGGATTTCTAGCCCACCTTCCAGGGCTGCCCACAGCTGCTGCCACCTCCAAACCCCCCCGTCACCGGCGAGGAGAGGAATGTGTGTGGCTCATGGCTAGCCAGCAGTGACTCTGGGGCTGTCCCTTACTCCTCTCCGGCTCCTCCTCCATGCTTTTTATTTTTTTTTTTAAAGATTTTATTTATTTATTTGAGA